AATACAAAAGCTCTCATTAATTCTTGCAGATTCAACTCCTTGATTTCTAACCTTGGTTAACCTAACCTTAAGCGAGGTTAAAAATCAAGGAGTTGAATATGCAAAAATTAATGAGAGCTTTTGTAACTTTTTTTCACTGCATTCCTGAAATTCTTCTCAGCGAACGTGTGCGAGACATCGAAATAAAATCTATTTTTCACAAACACGAAGTTCAACAAAGACCAGTTTTTTTCCAGGAGTTGTCAAAATCGAGCATTGTTTGTTCTCTCTATTTTCTACCCCAAACTTTACCCCTGCTTTATCATTTAAGGATTCTGGAAGGTTTGTCGTTGGTGTCACATTGAAATTCGAAGAGGAGTCTCATTTACCCAGAGGATTGGAGGAGTTGAAACAGGTTTTGCCATTTCAACCTGGCAGTTTAGCTAAGTACAAGTAATTTTTTGTGGTTTTAAACTATCACAATTAAGCTAAAGACAGGGGGAGAGAGTTCTTCCCAGAGAAATTTTTTGTCAAGGAGCTCTCTTAGCTAAGAATGATTACATCTTAAAAACTGACTTCCATTAAACGTCGGCCAAAATGATCAATAATTTTTTGTAAAGTTTAGCCTTACAGCTCAATCACATAAGAAATTAGTTACGAGTGGTTGTTTTCAAGTTGCCGACAGCAATGCTGGTTGTTTGCCATCTTAGAGATGAGGTGGTTTTCTTTTAACTAGCCCGATGTGGTGGACACATAGAAAACACCGTCTTTCCATGTTGAGTTCATGCCTGCATTTTCCTTCAAAATCTGCCTCTTCATGCGAGCAGTACTTCTGATGCGAGGGTGGATTTGCGCTACACCTTTCCTGAACACGTCCCACTATGACACATTGGGAGCATAACACCTGGGCCGTCACATTTTCAAATTGCTCACTCAGGGTGGTGTCTTTTTTGAATAGAATTCTTCCAATTCTTCGCTCAAAACTGGTTTTGAAACTCGACTTGTTGGAATTAGAGTCGTAATGTTTCGATTCCACAGCGATGACCTGTTATGTGAATGAACTAGTTTTTGTAACCACAGCGAAGGAAGTGTCGAAGGCAACGGAAGTGGCACATTTAGCCTTTGTTTGATTTCTTCTTTTATTTTTTTAGGCGAGCTCAGTTTTTACATCGACGTTTCAGTAATGTCAATGAAAGTAAACCCATCTGATAAGACTTTAAGATGGTTTTCGGTCTAAAAGAGTTCGTATTTTAGACGTGAGAGGTCCCACGTGACATACCACTTTGATTTTTGGGAGTGTAAGATCAAAGCACGTCATTCTTATAGGTGCGATGAGTAGACCCAAAATTCGCATCTCAACATTTTAACATCAATAGGTCTGATATGGTAGTAATAGCACAATTCTGGTGAATGTTGCTATTGTTGTTAACTTTTGCGACCGTCACTACATTTAATTTCTTCCATTTGTTGACAAGCAAACGAATAAGTGACTATTCAACATTATCGTCATAATGTTGACTTCTTATTGACTGCCTACTATAATCCTGCCATAAAAAATTCTAGTTGGCAACAAATGAAAAGTTAACATTGTGATTTCAACTACAGCCTCGGCTTAACTGGGTTCACAGCGGATTTGTGCTCTGCAAATCAATCCCGTTGATGGGTGATTGCTGATGAGATTGTCACAAGGAAAACTATCTGATAGAAAGGCGAAACAAAGGACCAGCATTGTGTGGTAGTGAACACGTTACCCCCTGGAAAGGGTAATACCGGATTCGATCCCCTCCCTAGACACCTGTGGTGGGGAGTATTGCAAATATCTCATCACGGTAATGGTTGGCTTGTCGTTATATTTTTTAAAAAAGTTAAATAAAAATGTCTTAGCAATGTGCATACGAATAAATTCGGGAGACATACGATCCGTGTCACTAAGAGATCTTCATCCGTTCAGTTACGATTCAAAGTGGTATCTGCTGAGGTGGTGGACTGGGGCTTCAAGATAAACCACCAGGCACGCTCTCTTTCCACTTCTGCGCTCGACGTAGCATGAAGTAGGAATTGGGGAATTGGGGTCAGGGATCACACCTGGCCCCGTATCTTCGGGTCAATTTCTGATGTGGGGTGGTGCAGTCGTCAACCATATGCGACTATAATCAGCTGTTCTAACCTTTCTCATTGGAAGTCACGTAAAAAGGCGGCGAGTGTTTCGAGAAGCTGTTGATCACGTAATTACCATAGTTTTTCTTCTCTTTGCAAGTGTTATTGAAGTGTTCGGCTTAGTAGATTGTATATCAGTATACCCATCCAGGCTCTGAAGAAAGCGATACTGCCCAAACATCAGCTACTGCTGTATTGTATTGTGTTTCTCTATGAAAGTAAATGTATCTGTTTAACAACCTTGCGACTGCTGAATGAGAAAACGTCGCATTCATATTCCAATGCCGAGGTTAAGAGAAAGTCGATTCTGGGAACTCCTACTTTCATTCTCAAAACAACGAGCAAAAGGTGGACTCGGTTGAAACAGAAGCAGTGATGAAGCAGTAGGCAGTCATGGAGCTCTGAGTAAGTATTCTTATTTAATAAGCAGTAACAATGCACCTCATCCTAAACCCTTTCACGGCAGATATTCAAAGCAGAGCTGCAAAGCACACCAAGCCCAGGATCTCCATTCCGTTTCAATATTACAACGGAAGCTTTTTATTCAATGGCTATAATAATTTTTATGGCAAGGTATTACGTGTGATACAAGCACTATGATGCTGAGATATTTGCAAAACTCTGGACCGCAGTTTTCCACGGTGCGGAACGAACGCGTTATTAGCGTTCCTCACCACACCACGAGTGTCCTTCGTTTCGCTTGTTTCTCAGCTAGTCCTACCGATCAGATTCCTGTTCCCGTTCCCCACCGTGGACACCTGTGGTCTAGAGTTTTGCAAATATCTCAACATCATGGTGGTTTCACCACACGCAACACCCTGCCATGAAAAATTGTAATAGACAGTAAATAAAAAGTTAACATTGTGATTTCTACTACGGCCTCAGCTTAACTGGGTTCGTTGCCGATTTATGCTCCCTAGATCACCCCCGTTGACGGGTGATTGTTGATGGTAATTTGAACGGTTGAACTAGCTGAGAGACAAGCGAAGCGATAAACCCGCATGGTGTGATGGTGAATGTGTTAGCCTCCGGAAAGCGTAAGAGGGGTTCAATGCCCATCGTGAACACCTGCGGTTCAGAGTTTTGCAAATATCTCAGCATCACAGTAGCTTCGGTATTGTTCTTGAAAGGTGATCCATTATTCAAGCACGATGAGTTTTATCCGATTTTGTGCCCGTCTCTTTCATGGTGTATTGCTCCACAGACCGATTTAACCCAGACCGCAATGTTTACGGGATCGATATTCGGTTGAATTTCAAGATAATGATTATAATAAAAACAGATCCATTCTTGACAACAAGACCCTCTTATATCATCCGAGCCGGAATTCGAAGTCTAAACCTGGATAGAAAACCGATAATCGGAATCGGTTCAGCGTGTGCTAAGATGACGAAAATCTGGTAGTGTGAGGACATAATGAGACTCGGTGAGCAGAAGCCGCTCGTGTCTTTTAATCTATAAAGCAATCTAGTGGAATGTGAATGGGTGCCACAAAAGGCTAGGGGTGGTCAAGTTGAAGTTCACCAGTTCTTCGACTGTTCTGGTCTTTTTTGACATTAAGAGTTTCTAATTTGTCCTATTTAGGCGAGTTTCTTAGAGACGGGCATAGACAACGCACTTTTTCAAAAACACTATCACTAAAAACACACAGCTTTAGCAAGATAAGTAGCGTTAGTGTGAGCAAGGCTCTAATAATCTATTCATTTGCACTGAATTTTGTGAGCGTCTCATCAGAAGTATAATGCTCCACAGAACAATTTAACCTCACTTTTTGTGCACTACCGATAGCTTGCCTAACCTAGATGTTATGTCACTCGTGGCCTGTAAAAAGATATTTTCTTCACTTAGTAGTTTACAAAAATCCTTCTTGATATGAAAAGGTTATTTGGCCAACAACTGCGTATGTGTTGCAGTTCACTCCAAACCACTTTGCTTCACGCATCCCTTCATTGTAACAATGAAATAGAATTATAAACTATGAAAAGCTTTAGAAAAATTAGTAAGCAAAAATTAATACCTTTATTATTAAGTTAGCACGAATTTGATAAGACGGTGAAAAGTGGAAAAGGTAAAAAGAGTGTCATCACAACTTCTGCACTTCTTCAAAACTGAAGAAAATGATTACGATCACCTCATTATTGAGGAAGTCTCTAGCTATAATCACAACCTTAACCTTTTTATTTACTGCCTATTCCTTTTAACGGCAAGGTATTTTGCGAAATATAACTACTATATTGCTGAGATATTTGCAAAACTCCGAATCGCAGGTGTCTGCAGTAAGGAACAAACGCGCTATTGTCCTTTCCAAGAGTAACGCGTTCACCATCACACCATGCGGGTTCTTCGTTTCGCCTATCTCTCAGCTAGTTCCATCGTTCATTGCTGATTTGGGCTCCCTAGGTCAATCCCGTTGACGGGTGATTGCTGATACCAAGTGATCGATAGAACTAGCTGCGATATAGGCGAAACGAAGGGCCCGCATGGTGTGGTGGTGAACGCGTTAGTCCCGAGAGAGGACAATAGCGCGTTCTTTCCTCCCGCAGACACCTGCGGTCCGGAGTTTTGCAAAAAGACTCTAGCATTCTGAGAGTGGGCATAAAAGTTCCGGTTCAAGTCTAATTGGAGAAGATTAGTCAAAATGAGGACTATAGAGATCAGTCAGAGTGAATTTTATTAAATTTCACAGTGAACTGAGGTATTTGGTACTTTCTTGTGATAATGGTGTTCAACGTTATTACATGGATGGAAATGCTGTGCTACTGTAGGGTATGATAATTTTGTGATAAGCATCATGATAAGGGGTTTTCCGCTCTACATATAAAGGTTTTCATGAAGTGAGTTTCATATTCATTTCACATACTAACATGGATGCCCAGTGAGTTTCGCGAAGGTTTCCATTTAGACAACAGAAAACAGCGCAATGTCTTATTTTGGAATTTTTCAGGATTTACATTAATCGCTCTTTACGACTAGACAAGATTAAAAGCATAGGATTCGATATGGATGCAACTCTAGCAAGTTGGTGTGCTTAATTTTTATAACAATATGTCTTATGCCATATACCAGCAGCTCCGAACCTCAGGAAGGACGAAGAAGGCTGTTCATTTAAAAGTGTCTTTCTTTGGTGTCGCGCCATCGTAACCTACTTACCAACGTAAATAAACCGACATCGGTTGTTAAGTTTCGTATTCCGGCATAAAGAGCAGAGTGGTCATTCGTGATGAAATATCTATCCTTTTCTTAGGGCGCATGTACCACTGTGGTTAGAGATGGACTACAGTAAGCCAGGGATCGACTCCGCGCTCAAGGCTCACCAATCCCACCATCCCTCTGAAGTCGGCAAATTGCCACCAGACTTGTTTGGGTGGATGGCAGCAGAAACTCGATAAATCACAAATAGTTAATGTATAAGATGTGCATAAATCGCCTCTAACCATGTTTGATGAAGTCGAAAGCATGACGCATCACTCAGAGATTGGTCAATGCCGAGAGCTTTATCCTTTATCATTTATCTTTTTTTTTTATCAAAACCTCTTTTTCCTAATCATAGAAGTCAATAAATTCCTCTATACGAAACCACTAGTGTTTATGATAAACTCCAAGATATAAGAGGTGAAAAGGAATGTTACATTGCTGAGATGAGTAAGGTGGGTGCAAAGGCTTTAGTCAGAGCTATCCTTTCTAGAACAATAGCATCACAGAGAAAACCACTACGTCGCTTAACTGATTATCTGGTAACGAAATATTACATCACCGCGAACGGATTTCATTCACCGCTGTTGAACTGTGATGTACAGAGTGATACAATTTCTGTTTCCCGAAAGGTGAAAAGCTCGACATTTTTATCAAAGAGTTCACCTTAGAGCAAATTTGTACAATGACGGAGAGCGATCGAGTATTTATGAATGTCGCTGCAAAACTAAAGACAGTCATGGAAAAGTGTGAGCCTTTTAATGCAACGCAAATGAACAAAACCTACTGAGCAGATCTGATGAACTACAGAGGTAAAGGGAGATTAACTATTGTAATGCTGAGATACTTGCAAAACTCCAAACCGCAGGCGTCTGCAGTGAGGAACGAACGTGCTATTGTCCTTTCCGGGGCGTAACGCTTTCACCATCACACCAAACGGGTCCTTCGTTTCACCTATCTCTCAGCTAGTTTTATCGATTTTTTGCCATCAGCAATCACTCGTCAACGGGATTGATCTGGGGAGCCCAAATCGGCACTGAACCCATTTAAGCTGAGGCTATAATTATAATCACAATCTTAACCTTTTTTATTTACTGCCTATTCTTTTTAACGGCAGTAAATAAAGAGGTTAAGATTGTGATAAAAAGTGATTTTTTGGAACCTACTCGAATTATTCGATAATTACGTAGGTAATAGAGGTTGGAACGGGTAGCGTAGTAAGAGTAGTGGCGTTCGTTTCCAGCAAAGATCTGGTTCGACCATCGACTTTGCCAACGAAGCCTTCCACATCTCGAGAGTCCGGAAATTGATAACAGACTTGTTTGAGATCAACTGATTTCCTAAAATCCAAATAGGACCACTGCAGCACGGCCATCTCAGACTGTGAAGGAGAACTAACTCGACAAGTGCTCAACAACGTACGTAAATGCATGAAAATACTCAAGAAGCACCCAAAGCCACACGAAAAAACTTTTAAGATCCTTATAGATAGACGACAAGAAAAGAATTAAGTGAAAAAGTGCAACGATCCACACAGCATGTGATGTCAAGTCGTGTAAAAAAAAGTGAGGTAGTGCCTATTCGTCGGAATCTCTATGGACCAGTTCAATGAAACCTCTGTCCTATCAGCGTACATTGTTAGTAAAGAATTTTTGCACTACAAATAACAGTTTTTCAAGAGGTGGAAGACGAAATGGGATAGCTTAAGAAAGCCTCTCGTCCTAGTGGATCACAGGAATTTATTTCATCTCCTACCTTTACGATATCCTTCCATGGTAGAGAAATTCATTGGTTTTTTATTCTGCCGATGTGTGCATATTTCGTTGTAAAGTTGTACTGACAGTTGAAGAGCAACACTGCTGTAATGAAAAAACAGCGTGATGAAAGCTGGACCCTGCCCTTCTACCAAATTTCGGAGATCGTGCAACTTTTTTGGAACTCGAGTCTGCTTTTTTAAATAATTCAAGAAACAATATTTTTGAAAACACGCCTGTGTTTCAAAACCACCCATGACTTTGATTTCAGTGAAAAAGTCGGATGAACAATGTTAGGTCAGTGCTCGCAAATTTCAAGGACACGCATAATTTGGTCTTCCCAGAACCTTTAAAGAAGCATCCTTAAATAATATTTTTTAAGTTTTGCTGTGGAAACAAAACTTATTCTGTTTATAATGGTTGTAGAACTACAGATGACCTCCATTAGTAATTTTATTGCAGTCAAATCACAGGAGCTTACTAATTCATTACAACCCAAAAGATCCGAAGATGAAATGGAGTAGACGATGTCTGAAAGAATGCCTAAAAAATGCTCTCGGCATTGATCAATTCCTGAGGAATGCACTATGAATTCGAATTCATTAAACATCGTTTGGAAGTGATTGAATGCAGATTTGGTCTTTGCAATGACTCGCGGTAGCCCACTGATGTATCGAGCCAGAGGTGCTTTCCTCCCAGACAAGTCCAGTACCAATTTGCCGACCCCGGGGGGATGGAAGGCTTGGTGGGCCATGGGCGCGGGCATCGATTCCGCGTATGTGATGCAAGGCCCCTCTAACCACAGCGCCACACGCGCCTCTATGCTTAAAGATTTTCCAAGAAGAAAAAGTGAAAATATTTTTCGATTGTTATTCATTACTGTTTTAGTTTACAATTCTCCTCAAAGCGAGGAATTGGCTTTCATTCTCTCCATTAATAGGCTAGTTGATATTGGCTATCCAGAAGAACTCCGGGTTAGCAACTAAATTTTAGACAGGAATTTACCAATATTTTAAAAATAGGTGTCCTTTATTTTTGAAATTCAACAGGAAACGAAGTATCAGGCGGAATTTGTTGCGCGGAATGCGTGGTTCGACAAGAAATTCGGAATGCTTTTGAAAACCGACGAACATTGTAATATTCTCAGCGCCTTCCATGGATTCAGGAAGCTTCAAAAGTCAGCTCAATGAATTTATGCATAAACCAAACAAATACGATATATGTAAGGAGATGATTTCTCGTAAGCAAGACCTACTAAACGAAAAGGGAAATCCTGATCTTCTAGGCTTTTACCCGTTAGTAATCGGTGTAACCAAGCAAAGTAGAGTCGGATGGGGAGTACCAGGATGTACCAGACTGTAACATATGAAATGTCCGATTTTTAATGTGAACTTTAAATAACCATAGCTTTTCATACTAGGTTTTAATAATTGATAAAAAATATTAGATTTAGTACAGCTTTTTGAATAGAAAACAACGCTTATTTTAGTTGCAGAAAATTCTGGTGTTCTAGAAGCGATGAATTCGTTGAAGGCATTATTTGCGTCATCGTGGTTGGTGAAGCATTTCTCGCGTAGGGAGTTGTCAAGGAGCTTGAAGAAGTGATAGTCCGTACGCAAGAGTTCTGATGAATATGGCGGATAAAGCAACGTTTCGTAGCCCAACTCGTTCAACTTCTCCAGCGCTTGTTCTTCAGCGTGAGGTCGAGCGTTCTTGCGGAGAATTGGTCCTTTTCTGTTAATTAAGGCCGGTCGTTGTTGTTGGAGTTTACAGTGCATTTCGTCGATTTGTTAGCAATACTTCTCTACCGTAATCGTTTCGCTAGGATCCAAAAAACTGTGATGAATCAGTCTGGCTGTAGACCACCAAACGGTCACCATGACATTTTTTGGGGTAATTTCGGCTTAGGGAAGTGTTGTGGAGCCTGTTCGTAATTTATGCATTGAGCTGAACTTCGACGGTTCTCGTATAGAATCCACTTTTCGTCGCACGTTGCAGTTCGATCAAGCAAAGGGCCGTTTTTGTTGCGCAGAATAAGAGCAGACGACACTTCAAAGCGGTAACTTTTTCTTGATTATCGTTTAGTTCGTGCGGCACCTACTTGTCGAATTTTTTTGTCTTTCTTATGCGATTCAAGTGAGTAGAAATTGTTCCTGTGCTTACGCCAAGCTGTTCTGCAAGCTCACCATCATTGCACTCGTGTTTGCTTTCACTAGTGCCTTCAATTAGTCGTTGTCAAGTTCACTGGGACGTCCGCCGCCTACCTTATCTTCCAGGTCGAAATCATCAGAACGGAATTTCCGGAACCATGATCGCACTGTTGAATCACCAACACTACCTTCATCCCAAACTTTATGATATTCCGAGCTTCAGCAGCAGCATTGTGTCCACTCTTCCACTCGTACAACAAAGAACAAGAATACCACGCAAATTCATACTAAAGTTGAAGCTTATAAAAATGTTGAAATAATAATTTTTGAAAGAACACAGAAAAAATCAATTTTGTGCTTTAAAAATATATACTGAAATTACATGGCATATTAAAACAATAAAATCGGCCATTTCGGATGTTACAAGCAAATAGCAGTGAGAAACTGGATAATGCAAGCACACCACCGTAACAAAGAACTGCTGAATAGATTCACAGAGAGCTAAAGAAATCTTAGAACTGCTTGTTTCAAATATTTTAGGAAGGAGATCCGTCGACTATATCCGAACAAGCATGTGGCCTTAGACGAGTCTCGAATTTATGTCCTGAACACGGTATTCAATGTTCCTGAAGCTCTCCTTCTTGCTGCAATAGTTAACTATTTTAATACTCACGAAGAAAGTTACACAGCGTAGGTTTATCTTTTTCAGTCGATCCATCGACGTCTTTTTCCGCGATAATGCGATTCTTTGTCATCACTCAAATCGTTTGTTGAACTACAGTAAGCACTTCAGATTGGCAGAGGAAACAGGATTCAAGAGGAGAGATAAGAACCAAGTTATTCCATACTCGACAATATTTAATGACTGTAGAAATGCCATAGATTGGATTCACACTGAGGTCAGAGTACTCTATGAAAAAGGGTTTTGAGGAAAATTTCCGCTATTTAAATAAAATTTAATATGTTTATTGATTAGTTTTAAGTGTAATAAGTGAATTAGTATCTTAAAAGTTTGGGGAAATTCCACACTTAGGTGAAAGAAATTGAAGTCAACGAAGGATACGGCTTAGCTTTCCTTTGCAATACCTCAGATGCTGTTGGAGCGTGTTTGCCTACAAATAAACGATATTGTTTCAGTGCAGAGTTTAATTCAAACTCTGTCTTTTACAACTGCTTTACCATAATTAGGACGTAGATATCATGAATTATCGAACGATGTGACGTTTAATGCAAAGACTTTTGCTCAAACACACTGCCTCTTTCCACACATATGAACACCACTCACCAAGATAGAACCTGGACAGTGCACCCGTGAGTGCAGCTAGTTATCTTCTACAGCCCCATCGGAAATTGTGTGGGTGGCTAAGGTAACTTCAGGAAGGTAGCAAAGCCCTCCTTTCATTCATTGGTCTAGCTTCCTTCAGAAGAAAGAAGACACAATGGGATGTGTATTATAGTTTATGGAGGTTTCAATTCTGAACCATCTTCTTTATAATTCTTGTCATTTGCAAAGAAACGCTAACATGTTCGACAGTGTAAACTCATTCTGCTCAAAATAGTGAAGAAATAAGTATGAACTCGCTGCTGGCAAACGGTTGTAAAATGTTGTAAAAAGAAATTACGTGAAGAATGTTAATTACCTCTCTAATGGGGAGAGATTTCCAGGGCGATTTCAAGGAGACAATCACCAACAACATCAACACATATATCGCCAAGGATTCGCGGGCAGTCCAAATGATGCAGAAATTGTCACAAGATGGAAAAGAACTCTTTCTTCTCACCAATTCCCCATGGAAGTTTACAAATGTAGGTGAATTTGCCTGTTGTTTGGTGCTTCGTTGGGATTCATATATCGCAACAATAGCTGGTGCGCTATATTATCCATTTGGTCACTGGTTCGATCACACGAATGGAGCAAACTAGCTTTCATTTCGTTCCGGCTTGACAAATCGTAATCAGACATATCTGGGAAGATAAAAGCATTGTACCGTTAGGCTTTCAAAAGTCATTTTATCCTCAAACTATGCACTGAAACTTTTCTACGGAGCTTAGTGGAATCCAACTCGTCTGCTGCCTGGAAGGGATGGGTGAACGCCGAGACTATACGAAACGCAGATTTCACTCCGATGAAGTTGAACATTCCACTCAGATACAACTTGCAAAAGTTCGCATTCACCTTTTAAAGAACGTGATCTGTGTTTCAATCCATCTGTTATGAAGTTGGAGTTTTTCACCACTACTTAGTCACAGTGAAATAAATATCACTGGCCTGGGTTCGCTTCCGCTGTTACTACTTATTTACTTATATGACACGAAATCAGATATTGTAAGAATCCAAGTGCTTCTTTCATTCAATTTTTTGCCTGGCATACCTCTGAACTAACGTTTTCCTTATCAATAAGGAGCTCAAATGTAGGTTGTTTTCAAACTTTTAGGACTTCATTCAGACTTTGCAGTGGTGAAGAAACCGCAGAAAGAAATAACTGTTAGCAACGCGTGGTTGATGAGGTGGTACCTTCACGTAAAGTAGACCGGTATAAATATGCTGTAATTAATTTGTTTGATGTAGTTTTTGAATAAAAGGAAACTTTACCTTTCTAAAGAAAGCGGATTAAAAAAGGCTTTTCGTCGGTTTTTCTCTCCGATTCTTTCCTTAACCTTTTATCTCTCTAAAAATGACAGACTCTATCAGCTCCATCACTTCTAGCTACTCATCTTCATCATTCTTTGTTCTTTTAAAAAATCATTCAGGCTTTAATGAGTCATGTGATGGGTTCAAGATGGAGAGAGTTGTTTGATGTTGTCATTGTGGATGGCAACAAACCAAAATGGTTTCTACAAGACATTCCATTCAAAGAGGTGGGACATAATGAAAGGAAATATTGCCGCTAAACAGAATTTTTCTTGTTTCTTAGATTGACGTAGCAACTGGAGCGACCAGCATCGGAGTCCATAGCGGTGCATTGACAAAAGGAGAAGTTTACAGTGGAGGTATCTTCTAGCAATATGACCACTGACTTGTGTTTAATTTTCAAAAAGTTGGAATTTCCTCGATGACAGAGCCTTGGGCATTCATGGAATGAAAGAGCGCATGGAGAGTACTGATCAGAGGTCCCATGCAAACACACAACATTTCAACCCTGAGACTCGAGCTAACCAAGTTCCCCATTACTCGCGATAAACAAACAGGCGGTTCCAAACTAACATAGAAAGATACTGAACATCCTTTGGTGCTTTGATCTTTGAAGAATTGCAATCTTCAAACGACATTGCCTCCTCATAATCCTGTGGTCTTATAAAATTAGCAGTGTCTATCTTTTTTATTTACTGCCTATTACAGTTTTTCAAAGCAGGGTTCTATGTATGATACAACCACAAGTTGCTGAAATATTTACAAAACACGGGACAGCAGGTGTCTGTTTCCCACCACACAATGAGGAAAAGGTAATAGCGCTTCGTTCCCCAGCGCAAACACCTACGGTCTGGAGTCTCGCAAATATTTCAGCATCATTGTGGTTGTATTACACATAATACCCTGCCTTGAAAAATCCTAGCAGGCAGTGAGTAAAAAAAGTTTACAAGTTTACATTGTGATTTCAACTACAACCCGAGACTCAACTGGGCTCATGGTGGATTTGGGCTCCCTAGATCATTTCCGTTGAGCGGTGATTGCTGATGGCAAAATGATCGATAGAACTAGCATGAGAAACATGCTAAGCGAAGGACACGCATGGTGTGGCGGTGAACGCGTTAACCCCATAAAGGGCAATGGCGCGTTTGTTCCCCACTGCAGGCACCTACTGTCCAGAGTTTTGTAAATATCTCAGCAAAATTAGCAGTAACCTGAAAAGTCCTAACATCTCCTTGAGAAGCTTTTTAGTTTATTTTTGTCTCAGCATTCAATTTAATCTCATTTCTGAAACTATCTGTTATCTTTGCTTCCTTCCCTGCTAGCGTATTATCCTAGAGCCTTCTAACATAAGTGTGATTCAGATACTTTACTGTATTCAATGGATATAAGGGTTCAGTGAAACAACAGCGTGAAGAGCAGTAAGCCCAGAAAGTGGTAGGGATGGAGAGACATTAGACGCATTCGTTCAATAACTTGAACTATTTTGGAATTGTGGAAAGTACAAGAAAAACCCTCTTCGTTCTTCAAATGTAGCGTTTCTAGTGCCATTATTTCAGGTTGTGCATCGGAATTTAAACATCGTATGAATTTGCACGGTAAAGATATCCTTTATGTTGGAGACCATATTTTCGGCGACGTGCTCAAGTGAGTAGGGCTCGCTGCTGCGTTTTATTTAATTTCTACAAACAGGTACCCTAATTTTTTCCTCAGGAAGGTTTCCAGACCATAATGTATATTGACCCTAAGACGCTCATTTGAATAACGAGATTACAAGAACTTCCAATGGTAAACATGAACAGATATTGTTAATTTTACTGGGATGACTCTTACAAAATTGTGGGTTAAAAGTATTACTGTCGTCACCGGTGATGATTTGGACATTTATCTCAAGAAGAATCTTTTCTCGCTTCTTCGGGCTCGAGAATTTGGGAGCAGATGCGATGGAGATAAGCAGGGGACCAATTCATTCAGTGACACTTTGATCTATTAATCGAACCGTGGTTGCGGTCAAGGTTTTTTGTGGACAATTTTCGGTAATAAAGGTATACTTGAACTTTTGAACTGTGACCTCACGTCGATAGGTGCCTTGTGGAGAAAATTTTTCGGGTATTGTTTTCCGTTGTTATTTTGCGTTTTTTTTTTGATGGCCCTTAGAGAGAAGCCCTTCTTCGCTTTCATGCTCTTTAATTTGAACAGAGGTGTCAATAGAAAAAGAAGGACCGAGAAATAAAAGAAATATGAGCATCGTTGTAGATAACAGCGTCAAAATATGGGGAAAATATGGTACGGGTGCTTTCAATAGCTCGTAAACGACAATGAAGAGATGCATGCCATGTAAGCATAAAAATGTAATAATAGAATCTTAAGGAATTAAACGGCTAGTATTCACGAACCACAAAGAATCGTGCCAGCTCAGCATAACTTTCGTCTCTCTGGTAAATTTCTTACTCTAAGACTTCCTTCCCTTGTGATATCGATAACAGCGCTATGGCCTTTTCTGGTTATTAACGATTATTACTTATCGGTGTGGTTGTGCTGTTCCCAGGATGGAAAGCTCTCCCGGAAGTGGATTACTCTTAGTTAGGCTTCTGTGTGCAAATGTGGAACTCCTATGCAAGCCTGACTCAACCACTTGAGTGGCGGGTTCCTGTTGTATTCCATATTTTAACACTGAAGTGCACCCCCAACCACTATGAGGTCATGATTTACAACGTAGAGCCATAAAAGGATATCTTTGCAAAATAAAAAAAAGTTTATGCGAGTTCATTAATTTCTTTGTTCAGATCTAAGAAGGTAGGTGGGTGGCGCACACTGCTTATTGTACCAGAACTGAGCAGAGAAATGAAGGCAAGTGTTTTAACTTCGATCCTTTTATTGTTATAATTTCTCCTTGCAGCGAAAGCATAATTTAAATTCATTCGAATGTTTTTAATGCATTTAACACTACTTTATTTTTATTTCATCAAGCCTCTTTATCAGCATTGTTTTGGTAACGATCGTCTTCCAGGGTCTTTATCAGAGAAATACTTACATGCGTTTTTGCAGATATGGACCTCACAAAGCCAAAAGTTCAGTGAACTGCTCCATATAGGCGACAAGCTCGGCACTTGTGATTCGGAAACAGGAGCCGTGAAGACCGATACGTTGAAATTAATTTCCGTATGATTGTTTTTTATTAATCATGAAAGAAGCATTCCGTACTATCGTAGAGTGTACGCTGTGCTGAACGCTGTCGTCTCCTACAAATGACATTTTAGCGAATCACCGATGAAGTAGAAGCCGAGTTTGGAGCAATGGGTTCGATGTTGAGGTGTGGCTGGAGACAAACACATTTTGCTGCTCAGTTAAGGAAGTTGGTGATGGATGTTATCTTAACAGAAGACGACGATTAAGGAGTCGTCGTTCAGATGATGACGATCGTTGGATCGAGAAAAACTCATCATATCAGCATTGCTTTAGATGTGCAACTTGTTTCAGATATGCGGATCTGTACACAAGTAATGTCTACAATCTTCACGGGTATTCATCGTCACACTACTTCAGCTCGTCGCTACATCTTCTTCCACACGAAGAGAGTTTCCTGCATAGCTGCGATGAGTGCTCTTCAGATAACGAACAGGTTTTCACCCGCATTTTCGCAAATATAAATATTCGTTTGTATATAAAACAACTGACAATTTTCACTCCACGAGGATTATCTTTGACCCAGTCAATCTTTAACTCTTTGCCTTGCTGTTTCGGTATGCTTTTACGGACTTCTTCGTCTTACTTAAGACTCATTCAATGTAATTTTTGGCGAGATGGGTATAAATAGCCCTGGTGGTATCTTCCTGAGACCATTTTCCTCGTGATCATTGTTTGTTCTACGCTCTTCATGTCCTGTTAACTATAACATTAATGAATAACACGTAAATAGGAAAGACCAATCATTTAACCTTAGTTCAATTGCAAATATATAGTGTTTTTTCAGCGTTTTTATGAACGTAATAGTTCATTACAGTACTGCCTCGTTAAGATCTTTCTGGAGTTCAAAAACTACAAGCACTATTTTCTTGCTTGATTAAGCTAAAACGAGATTGTTATAAAACATTTAATCGAGCAACGTTTCGGTGCTTTCGTCCTCCTCAGAATCGCATCGATCGAATCCGATTGTACATAGCCGTAGGCCCTAGCGATGTAGATTTTAGTAGCCGGATCGAGTCTACGAGTCCACTCGTCTGGAGTGGACACAGCTCCAATGGAGTATCTTGGCTTGGCAGGACGCCCTTTATGGAAAGCGGTTTTTGATATATTACTGCCTTAGAGAGATATAGAACTATGCGAAGTCCATGAAATCATTTTCATGTTTAATATGGAACTTCACACATCCGCAACAAAAGCACCCAAACTGCTTCGTATGTTTATCGGACTCTTTCCAGCCACATTTGTTCGATTGATTGAGGTTGTTGTGGCATCAGTAAGGTCAATAGGCGTTACGATATCAGCGTGTAGTGAGAGCCGAATCTGCTAACTTCATAATATCAAGCGATAGAAAAGGATCTAATCTTGTCTTAGAAATGGCCCACAGTGGCAAGTACCATCGTTTAGTAGTCTCTTGATTTCAATGGCAACGTAGTTGGCATCTGGTAAAGAACCTCATGCTCGCTCTCAGTGCTAACATATATGAAGTAAGAAGAAAGTAAAAAAAATTCCGCTACACTATGGCTTTTCATGATTACCATTAGGCGTGTTGCGATTAAATAAAAATTTCAAAACTCCAATTTGAGAAAGAACACACACACACACACACCTTTGTGGTAATTTGTAACGCAAAATAACCGACTCCGCTACTCCACGATTGCTACATTAATATAATACTTAGATAATTGGACCTCCTGTCCCCACCGTTGTGTGGGCCCCAGCATAATTGCCATTTTTCAAAGTTTTTCTCGTCTAGCCATTGTATTTCTCTGGAGTTCCGAGGTCAGCCTAGCCAAATTCTGCCCCAGGTTTTCATCACCACGGGCAGTGGCCGTCTTTGTGGATCACAGGAAGATTTGTCACCATGCGATTAGTTTGATACCAGGACGTTGATCGATTCTTGTATTTATTTACTCTTAGCTAGCTTTTCTGATGGAAAAGCCGGACTCCTCAGCTTGGGAGACCTTGTCGGTGAACGAATCCTACCGCTGCACATCGCAGCCCGACAGGCAAGTAGACCTCCCAAACACGATAAGGCGGTAAGCCATTGGGATGAATATGATATATATGTACTTTGTAATAAAAAGAAATTTCCAACAGCTTTCAAGCATATAGTAATGGTGCCAAAAGCAGCCATTGTCTCATTCCTGGAAAAGTGCACTCGAAAAGTTACATTCCGCCCCACGTTTTACACGGACCGGTAACTGTTAATGATGATGTAGAAAAAACAGAAAAAAACCATTGTCACGGATTTCTGAATATTCCGGTAAAAGCTCCAAAAAGGCCAGCAATCTGCCATTAAATTGAAGGTGTACCGGTTATGTACGGTCTTCTATAGAAAGAACCGTTCGCATTTTTAATTATTCGATAACTAGAGACCTTTCTCCTGGGGTGGTAGTTATTCAAGAGTGTTCAACCATTGAAGTACTTGCCAAACGAAGATATCTATTGATAAGTTGCTCCTCAGCTCTAAAAAAAATGTGGACAATTCAGACTCTGTACTAATTTTGTGAGCAGTGCTCACTTTTAGTGAATGACGAGAACCCCGCAATTGCGCAAATCCGCCGAAGAACTAGTACTCTTTATTGGCCGACATCGCAAAGAAATAGCATAGAATACAGATTAATAACTTAGCTATTAGAATAGAAGCATAAATATTTTTTAAGCTCTGTATAAATATCACTAATAAAACAGAATTTGCCGTAGTTTTTCAGCTCATGGATCTAGATTCCCAACTTTGTATACAGCTGTTAATAAAACTAACTTTGCTGTTCGTCATGTTTACTGTTCTGGCTGCCCTTCTGAGTACTTGCTGATAGCATATCTAGAGGCTTTAGCTCAACCGAAAAACGGAGACAGTGGCGACTAGAATACTGAGGATGCTGGTGGAATGAGAAGCCTAAATTAATGGAAAGAAAGTTTTAATGATGTCCTGGAAGATTACAATGCCAGTGCCATCGACATTCTCTAGTACTACGATAGTGGGTACTTAAGAACGGAACAGGGTTACCTGGAAGGAAGGCCACAAACAATGTCGAAATCTATCTTTTTTTATGAACTAAAGGCGCCTTTTGTAAGCGAGCGCATTTGAAGTGCAAGTACCCTTTCTAATCCCATAATGTTATAAAAATTCAGTCCTACCTAGCCAATAAAGTCATTTGAAAGTGAAGGTATTGATATTTCAATTGTGATTCAGAGCTTTACCTTTACAATTCACAACGTCGTATACGATTTAGCGAAAAATCGAGACTTCTTTTCAGTGTACAGTCATTAAAGAACATCATGAGCCACAAGCAACGCCCACTTAGAGCAACAACAAGCAAGATCTTCCTTGACCCGCAAAAATGATCACTATCAAGTGACACGAATAAACTACTTCACGATATTTCGAAGGCTTTTAAAAAGAAATTTCCGATGAGTTTAAAATGGCGGGTGATATGAGTGAAAGAAGGATGTAAGTTTTAAATGGACGTTCACGTATAGTCACAAATAGGCGACTTTTCAATGACCACAGAAGAGAAAGTAAACTAACATCCAAAGAAGGACATCATTGCCTTGGGCCTCTGATTTCTGGTTTAATTTAGTTACCTGGATAGTTGTATCCTTGGACCACCCGTCTCGACGTTTAATGAGGACCCCGAACATTTTTTATTCCCTTTTCCGCGTCACTGTCATCATTCATGGTGACATGTGTGGGTGTCAAACTGTCATCGATAAAACATCTACAATTTCGCTTACAGATAATTGTTTTCAGTCACAAATACACTGCGTGGGTGGTTGTCGCAAGGAACGACTGGATTTTCGTAGAGT